GGGGAGAGAGTTCACTCTGTCCCAGCTGACACCGGGACACCACGCCAGGGTTGGGGATGGCTGCCAGCTCTCCCTGCTCCTGCCTATCTGGTAACTCGTCTGAGAGCAGTTCTGCCAGCTGCTGCGTCCCACCTTGCTTTTCCTCAGGGCATCCATCAGAACGGGGGCTTCACCAAAGTGTGGTTCGCCATGAAGACCTTCCTCACCCCCAGCATTTTAATCATCATGGTCTGGTACTGGCGGCGGATCACACTGATGACACGCGCTCCCGTCCTGCTGGAGAAGTGAGTAGGGGCTGGCGACAGCCCCCCTGGAGCAAGGGGACCCTGAGCGAGGTGGTCCCTGCTCCAGGGTCTGGGGAGATGGGAATGGGCTCTTCTCTGACCTCCTCAAAGCCTCTGAGGCTTTGAGCAACCTGGGCAAGTGGGAGGCGTCCGTGCCCATGGCAGGGGGTGGAACTAGATGATATCTAAGGTCCCTTCCCACCCAAACCATTCCATGATTCTCCATGGCTTCTCTTTTCTTTCCCATTAAACCTATGGAGAACGTGCTTGCCTGTGGCTGCTTGGAAGGGCTCAGCTCCAAGGGGTTTGCTCTGCCCAGACAGAGCCGGGTTTTCTTGTGTTGCTCTTCTGGGGCTCTGTGTCCTTGCCTTGCAAACTGCAAAGAGCCGGTGTTTCTGCCTCTCCCAGGGTCATCTTTGCTCTGGGAATTTCCATGACGTTCATCAACATCCCTGTGGAGTGGTTTTCCATCGGATTTGACTGGACATGGATGTTGCTCTTTGGAGACATTCGACAAGGCATCTTTTACGCCATGCTCCTGTCATTTTGGATCATCTTCTGCGGGGAGCACATGATGGTGGGTACGACGCCGATGGGAAGGTGGTTTCCTTTCTTTCACTGGAGTGTTTGTAACAACACTGTGGGGACTTGCTCCAGGCGAGAGGACTTCAGGCTAACTTGCTTTTCCTTTTTCTCCTCCTCCCCACCTCCTGACCCTCCCATTAGGACCAGAACGAGCGGAATCGTCTCTCAGGGTACTGGAAGCAGGTTGGACCCATAGCCGTCGGCTCCTTCTGCCTCTTCATCTTTGACATGTGTGAGAGGTGGGTGCAGCGCTGCTCCCCGGGAAGAACCTTCCCTGGACACCTCCCATGGTTTGACTCCCATGGCTGGATGCTTGGGAAGCCAGGAGAGGCTCCTGTCCCCTCCCTGCAGCACACTGTCATTCCACAGCAGTGGATTTTGTCCCAGAGCAGCCGTGGGGCTCTCCGAGCCCATTGGCATCTGCGGCACCTCGGTGTTTTCTCTCCTCTTTGCAGGGGGGTGCAGCTGAAGAACCCCTTCTACAGCATCTGGACCACCGAGGTGGGCACGGAGCTGGCTGTATCCTTCTCCCCGGCTCAGGGCAGGCTAGGGCTGTGTTGGGAGTCCTGAGTGATCGCTGCCTGTGAGAAGTTTAATTATGATCTTTGGATGACAGTAAAAGCAGGGAATCGCCCAGATAATGTTTTCTATTATTTCTGTTCAGCTCATACAATTTTCTCTTTAACGTATGCTGTCCAGATGGCCTTTATTATAGTGGCGGGGATCTGCCTGTGTCTCTATTTTCTCTTCCTGTGCTTTATGGTCTTCCAAGTGTTCCGAAACATCAGCGGGAAGCAGTCGAGCCTCCCGGCTATGAGCAAGGCTCGCCGTCTTCATTACGAGGTAACGGCTCTCCTTGTTGCATAGATTATTTATCTTTAAAATGCATTTTTGTCTTTAAAGTCTATACTGAGACCTTCTCTCTCCACATAGTCCTGAGTTGGAAAGTCTGAGCTGGATTGGCTTTCTTGTGGGGCTCAAATCCCCTAAAATGCCTTTTGGGTTGTCAGTTGTGAAGTTTCTGCCTTTTTTGGGTCTTTAGTGGAGTATTTCACACTGTCAGTAGGGAGTTGCCATCTCCCAGCTACTGAACAGTGTCAGTGGACAGAAGAAAATCAGCCGAACTACCGTTACAATTACTGCGGAGCGTGACCCATCAGCTCCCTGTGCCTCCGTTTCTCCTTCTGTAATATTAATGATTGCATTCCATGGAAACCCTGTTTTTCCATGGCATGAATTCACATTTTTGGGGTCTTTTTTTCTTAACCGAGTTGCAGGAGGGAAACTGTCCTGCTAGGATCAAAACACGACCTGTTCAGCTCCTTATCCCCACTCTTAGCCCACGATTTTGTATGTTGCTCTGTCCCAGCTGTTTTATCAGCTGCAAGGAGCTTGCTTTAAGTGCTGAAGTTCCTGTTGTTTCCATGGGCGTGTAAATATTTATCACCAATGTTGTTCTGTTAAATGAGGGTCACTTCTGATTTAAACAAGTCCGTTATCACTCATCAGGAATGCACTTAAAAAATAGAAAATCGGACTTGCGAGAATTTAAACAAGATATTGAGCGGTTTTTTCCATCTTTCCCTTTAGCAAGAGGCAGGGACCTCAGCTCGTGTTGCAGAGCTGCTGCAGCCGGGCTCGACGTACAAACATCTGGCAGGCAGGAATCTGGTCTGGAAGAGTTAAATTAATGGTCGCTTGTTGTCGCAGTGTGGCATAGGAATTACGCACACACTGACATTTCCACCAAAATTCCAGAACCAGGTTTAAAAAAAAAAAAACAAACAACATACATGCACAAAAAAAACAAAACCAAAAGAATTTGTAAGTAAAAATGTAAAATGAGGGACAGCCTGGTATGCAGAGTCCCAGCCAAGCGATCCTGAGCCGTAGTTTGTCTTGTCGTCGATCTTCTTCTGCAATAGCCAGTGTAGTTTTGATGAGCGTTGAGCATTGCTGCAGTTTTGGACCAGCCAGACCGGGGAGGTGAGGATCAGCCCAGTACCAGCACCCATGTTATACAAACGCCAACTCGTCCTGCTCAGCCCTGCAAACCCTCCCCAGATGTTTGTTTAAGAAAAGCGATGAGCTCTTGGGCTGGCGGGTGGGTGAAACCCATGGCTCGCCCCGACGTACCTCCTCATCCACGCTGACTCTCGGTAAATTAGGCACAAAAGCAGCTGGAATGGAAAGCCCGAGCTGGCCGGACACGAGCACACGGGAGGAAGCAGACGTGTGGGCATGGCGCAGGGGAGTGGGTGGAGGTTGTTTTGCTTTGGGGTTTCGTGGGTTGGACCCTTTTTTTTGTTTTGTTTTGGTTTTTTTTATACTTGTATAGGCTAAAACCAAAAATGGGTTTTGTGGGTTCTGTGAATGTGAGCGGTGACGTTTCTCTCCCTCGACAGGGGCTGATTTTTAGGTTCAAGTTCCTGATGCTCATCACCCTGGCTTGTGCGGCGATGACGGTCATCTTCTTCATCGTCAGCCAGGTGGGTGACGAACC